AATAGCCAATCAAAATTTGACTGTTAAAACTAATTATTAATTTACCCGAAACTTATATAATTTATTAATAAATATATTCCCGAAACTCCGAAATATATTTCGGGTTAAGGTTAAAATGTTATCTTATCTCCAAAACTACCGAAATTAATTTCAGAGTTCTGGAGTTTCGGGGATTTATAGTTTCGGCCGACAGCTTTAACAATAGTAATAAAAAATAAAATTCAAAAAATATCAAATTAAAAAGTTATTAAACTATTTATTTGATAATTAAATATATTAAAAATAAATTATAAAAATCTAGTAAAGTAGAAATTATTTAAAAAAAAGTATTTTAATAATAATATATTTACTTAAAAAGTTATCAAATATTTAATAATTATATAAAAAAATTATTATAGAATTGAAAATTTTAATAAACATAAATTTTAAAATAAGTTTTATAAATATATAAAAATAAAAATAAAAATAAATTTTTAATTTTCTAATTTTTATATTTTCTAATTATTATTAGAATTAACTTTAAAGAAAAGATTTTTAATTATCTTTTTTGATAAATAAAATTATATTGTATTAAAAATAGTTTTTTTTAAATTTAATGATTAGTTAATGTATTTAAACAATAATTTGATTTCTATTTAATATTTATATTTCTGTAAGCAAAATATTTTAATCATTCTTTATTATTTATTAATATGAATATGATTTTTTTTTTTTTTTAAGATAGCAAAGTAAAAATAAAGTAATTTCTATCCTATTATTCTTCATTATCAAATTTTTCAATACCTAGTTTTCTAATAACATTTAACTTCATATATTTTTTAAATACTTTCAAATTTTCTTTTTCTATTTCTAAATTTATATCTTTGTTATTATAATCCACAAGAATGATAATAGAAAGTAAATTTTGTGATATTCGATTTTTCCAACCAATAAAAAATAATTCTAAATCTTTTGAAAGTAAATTTAAATATTTGATACCATAAAATTTTAATTCATAAAAATTCTTTGGTGAATATTTTATAATAACTTCTAACATTTCATTTTTATCCAAAAAATGTTCTTTATCACTACACCAAAATTTTATACTTTCTAATTGTTTACAACTTTTAAAGATTAACTTCAAGCCTTTTAAATCATCCTTTTCGAATATAATAAAGAGTTTTTTAAGATTTGGACAAAATTTTGCAATAATAAATTTCAAAAAATTATCCTCTTCTATTACACTAAATTCTTCAAGATTTTTTCCATTATTTTCTAAAAATTTTATTAAAAATACTTTATGTGGATGTCCATAACAAAATTTTAAGATCTTTAATTGTGGAAAGGTAACATATTGTAATTCTTTAAAATCTCCGATTGAATCTACTTTACCACCATCTGAAGAACATCTAATAACAAGTTCTTTTAAATTGTTGAATGAGGCCATAAATGACATAGGTAAATAACCCTCCCCACATAAATTGAATTTAGTTAAAGTATAAGTGTGTTTTATTAATGAAGGTATGATAGCTGTCCAATCCAAATCTACTAAATTATTTTTTAATTTCAAATATTTCAAATTTTGCTGAGCAGATAAAAATACTATTAATCCATTAGTAATCTCACTTTCAAGTTCTATATCCAAGAATTGTATGTTGTGACAAATTCGTGATAGTTGATAAAAAAACTCTGAGCAAACATTTGAATTACACTTGAATACCCTAAGATCCTTTAAACAATTCTTTGCTCCAGGTAAATTTGAAATATAACTTTAGAAACATCAGAAACTTTTATATTTTCTAATGGAGTATAAATCAATTCTTTTAAAGAAGGAATTTGATTCATAAACATTTTAAATAATTCTAAAGTTATTAAATATTCATTGTAACTTGATATATTCGAAGTAATGAATGAATTTATGGAAAATGTATGGATTATCATATCAACTTCATGAATTGAGAGAACTTGGCAAAATTCCACATAATTGAACATTGGTGAATTCTGATCGGGAGTTTGAATAAAGATTCCGTTATTATGTAGAAAGTTTTTTGATTTATCAGGAAGACAGGAAACCAAAGTTTTGAGGATTGATAATTCCAAATCAAATTGCTTTAAATTAGACAAGGTGTATTTATAGCTCCAAATATTCCTCCATAAAATTCTAACCGAAATTTTACACCATACACTATTAACTAATAAGCATGAATGTAAAGTAGCTTTATCTTCCTCTAAATATTCAATAACTTCGTATAAGCAGTCAAAGATAAGATGGTTGGACATTTTATATACAGTATATATATGTATGTATTAGGAAAAACGGGATCATTAAGAATGTAAAGGCAATTTTTGAGATTTTAGCGACGTGAATCCGGTGACATATAAGAGTGATGTGACAATTATGATTTTCACAAAAAGTATGTCACAGCTGTCAAGAGTTTAGAAGTACTAATAGTAAATTATATATTATTATTATATACAGATAATAAATATATAAACTATTTTGGATTTCTTTATAGTTTAAAACGTCAAGGATCGTAAATTTTTAAAACTGATGAAGATTATTGAGATAGGTATAGAATTTTTGGTCTTTTCGTTACAATCAAGTCTTTCTTTTTTAACAAGTAATAAATTCCGATAATTGATGACTATACAGATGAGGAATTTATTGTAACTTTGCTTATTTGCGATATAATTTCCGATATTTTCAAAGAACGGTTATTCTCTAGACGAAGCATCCGATACTTTGATATAAACGGTGATTACTATTTTGTTGTTTAAGGTATGAGCTTAAGTTTACTTTGTCATGTTCTAGTTGTGATAAAATGATTATGGAAAGTTTTAAAGCGACAAATGGATATTAATTCCACATGGTGACTAGTTCGTTTCATATAAGAAAAGTCAATTTGAGGAATTTGGAGAAATGTTAGTAACATTTATAATTCTTATATGTCTATAATTATCGTTATAATTATTTGACATTAATTATTAATTCTTTTAGATAAACAAACGATATAATAATCAACACAAGGCTTTATTGGTATAAAAATTGTAAACAGAATAGAAGTTAGTTATAAGGACGTAAACGTTTAGTTTCTTTGATGGAAGCAAAGATCTGAAGAATAAAACGCACTCGGGTATGATCAATTAGATGATCTCAATTAATTCAATTAATTAGATTTATTAAACAATGGCTAAAACAGAACGAATATGCTGAACGAATGTGGGCTAGCAATAATTGCAAATTCCCATACTGTATATTCCTGATATTAAAAGTAGAAAATGGGATTAAAAGTGCAATAATATCACCACTTATTTCAATAGAATTTTTAATTGCAGGAAGAAGTTTTTATATTGGATTTTGCGATCGAAGGAAGGAGAACGCTGTGAAAATATAATAATTAAGAATCTGAACATATCTCTGCCTGAATAATACATATCCTTAATGAAGCTATAGCAAACTTAACGTACTACAAAGCGCATCTAAATAGATTTAATTTTCAACAGAAACTGCAATTAAATTTTGGACATTTAACGTTTATCAAATTTCCAACAAAACAATATTCTTCCGTCTACAATGCCGCAGTGAACAATCTTATTATTAATTATGAAAACAATCAGGGAATATAAAAAAGAGATTATCCTAATAATTTTATTATGTCGAATAATAATCAAGTTCCCCAACCCCAATCAAGCTCAAAGAAATAATAAACAAAATTCTGTCCATCTAGGTTTAGCTATTATCGCAGATAGTGATTAGATAATGTTCAAGGTGTATCTCATGGAGGGTGATGGTACGAAACCGGTGATAATTCCCTCACCTGTCATTATTCAAAGCTTATCCTGCAACTAGAACAAGGGCTTGTGTTACTCAAGAAAAACCTTATGGGCGTATTGAAGAAACTGAATTAAGAAGGCTAAAATCGTTGTTGTAAAAGAAAAAGATGAAACGTGGAAGTTAATCTATCAATTAATAAAACAACAAAAAGGGCTACAGCATTATATTTGTAATGCATATATTAACCTTGAAAAAATTCCACTTATAATAATAGATTCCGGTTCTGCTGGTTGCATAGTTTCATTAAAGTTACTTAAAGTTCTAGAAATAAAAATTACACAAGCAACTATGGTTAAAATTAGAGAAGATCTTTAGGACCGTTTCTATAAAATTGCTGGTATATAATGCCTTTTGATGTCATGGTAATGAAGGCTTAATTATATGCAGATATTGTTAGGAAGAAATTGGTTAAAAAAATGCAGGAAATTATAAATTATAGAAAAAGTCATATATCTCTATATTGGAATAATATCTATATACAATTGTTTTGGTTTTATATCATTAACTTGAAATGGTTTTCAGCAATAAAAGCAGATTGCCATATTGTTTTTATGGATTTTAAGTCATTCATAACTAGTATAATAATTAACATTAAACTTATCTAGGTTTAATCCTACAAACAAATAGAAATGATTAGTATATACTATATTCATTTTGTGACAACAAATATTGAAGAGTAGATTTGACTTGTAATTCTCACTACACTGAAGACTCTCTCTTTTTCATTATTAATAATCTGTTATAGAAATTTTCATTATCAAGTAATTTTTTGAAATCAATAATATTGCAATAATTTTCAGGGTGGTTATTAATAAGCTTAGATAATTACTATTGTTTTTTATCAATAATTATTTTAATATTTAAAATACTATTCAAAATAACTTCTAACATATTTAGCAAATAATAATTAATAAATTATAGTGATTTTATTGAATTAAAGTGAATTATAACAGTTTTTTAATAAATTTTAACAAATTTTTATCAACTTATATTAGAAAATATTATAATTTAAATTTATATAGAATTATAAAAATTTTATATTATAAGAAATTAATAAAACCTTTCTGATTTCTTACTAGTTTTATAACAGTTTCAAGTATTGTGATAATTCAAGTTCTATTTCACTTCTTTTTGAGGTTCTTTTTACTTTTCTCTCATAATGCTAGTTTATTATTAGTAACTAATTAGTATTTAGCCTTATAAGATAATTTTATTCTAAAAATAATAATATTCAACAATTCACAAAATATCACATATTTTATAAAATTATGTAATAAATGCAAATAACTTATGCAATTATTATAAAATTACATAAAATATTTTTATATTCTATAAAAATTTTAAATTTTTACTAAAAAAATAAAATTTTATATTATGATTTTATTTTAAAGTTTAATCTCTTTCCTAAAATATGTATTTTAAACTTTTTTTATTTGTAAAAGATAATGTTTAATCTTATATTAAGATTGAAAATTTTTTTAAATATCTTCTAAAAAGCATAGAATAGTAATAGTTTATACATAAGTTGAAGAAAATTCTGATATTTTTATATTAATAATAACTTTTTATTTTATAATTATTATGATCTTTTCATAAAATAAAAATATAAATTAATTGTAGATACTTATTATATTAAAAAAAATCTAATATAAAAAAAAAATTAATAAACTTTAGAAATAACTTTACTTGTAACTATTTCTAAAAAAAAAAATAATAATAAATTTAATTTAAGTATTGCAAGTGTAAATATTATATTAGAAAAATTAATTTTTACTTTTCTTTTAAAAAAAAAACTAAAAAGTAAGGATAATTTCTTAAGCATCAACTTTATATCAAATTTATTTACCTAATATTTTTAACAAATATATTAATATTTTAAAATTAATTTTTAATTTTAAATCTATTTATATTATTATAAATAAAAGTAATAATAATTATAAATGAAGTATAGCTAATATAATTTTTATATATTGTTTATATATATAATTAGTTTTAGTTATTTTTAGAACAAATAAATAATATAATAATTATAAATACTTTTTCTATATTACATTTTTTATAATATATTTTTGAATCTTTTATATTTATTTTTTCTGATTTTACAATATATATAAAAAGTATTATTGTAATATTTTAAAACTACTTATATTATAATTGATATATTTATCATATTTTATATATATAATAAGATTTATTAAATAAGTTAAAATAAATTATTATTTATTATAATTATATATTGTAAAGTATTAATATACTAATTATATTTAAAATAATAAAACTTAGTAAAATTTTTTATTATTTTCACTTTTAAAAACTTTTTAGTTAAAATTAAAAATATTTTTATTAAATTTCTTGTAAAAAAAGTTGATATATAATTTATTTACATATGAATAAAAATTGTGTTACTATGTAAAATTTATTACCTAATAAATTCAATAAAATGGCTAGTATAAAATAATATTTTATACTAAAAAATATCTTCAATTTGATTAGATTTTATGAAAGTGAATATAAAAGTGATTTAAAATATAAAAATATAAGTGAAATTTATTCAATTTTACAAAATATAGTATAATTTAAAATTATTACAATTTATGTTAACTTTATACTAAAGAATTTGTTTAAAACTTAGATTTTTTCATCAACTGAAAAACCATATTTTTCTATTTATTGAAACTTAGTTTAAAAATTTTATAGTTTATCTTAAATCAATTTATTTTAATATAGCACTTAATAAAATTATAATATATAATTTATTTAATTTATAAGATTTTACTTACTTATTAAGCTACTTTTCAAGTTTACATATAATAAATTAAAATTATATATTTTAAATTATCCTACATGTCTTTTATTTTATATAGCTTGCTTTTTTTAATCCTAAATATATTCATATGAGAAATAATCAATAATATATATATATCAATATATACAATTATTAATAATTTTAATAATTCTTTAAATAATTTTATATATAATAAGATATTTATTATAAGTTAAAATATAATAAAAATTTAAATAAAATTGATTTAGAAATTTATTAGAATAATATAACAATTCGTTTACCAATTATTTCTTAAATAATACTTAATTATATTTAATTAATTGTATCTAATTATATTATTAAGTATAGTTTCTTTACATAATATCTAATTATATAGTAACTATTAAAATTTATCTAAAAATTACTTAAATAATTATTTTAATTAAAATAATTGATTTTATAAATTTTTTTATTTTTATATTCTACTTATATATAAAATATAAGTTTATTTTTTAATATCTTTTTACCAATTAAATTACATATCTTATTAGAAATTTAAATGCATTAAAAATACTAGTTTTATAAAAAAATTATTTATTAAAAAAATAAACAAAAACATAATAAAAATCATAATAAATATTATAATATAAAAAAACTAAAAAATAAAATTAAAAAAGTAAA